TAGTTTATGGCCACAGACTCATCCTCAGATATATCTACTACACAGGACTCACACGTTGACTCACTGACTCAATAATCATGATGAAGAACTTCATAGCAAGTGCATGAGCCACTTTAGTTAAATATTTTTTTTCACAAACGATACTTAAAAATCATTGACTGATTCACGTTCATGACTCACTGACTCACAGATAACACCCTAGAACTAGTGACTCACCCTCACTCATTTCAATTACAAAAATTACATCCAGTTGAGGAGAAGGAGGAAGGAGAGAGGAGGGAGGGAAGGGGGGAGGAGGGAGGGGATGAGAGGAGGAGGGAGGGGAGGGAGGGAGGCATGAGAGGAGGAGGGAGGGGAGGAGGGAGGAGGAGGAGGGAGGAAGGAGAGGGGAGGGAGGGAGGGAGGGAAGTTTACTTACTCAATGACGATTCATTTCATAAATTAACTCACCCCGTCACTCATAGATCACATCCACCAAAAATCACACTTATTAAAGACACTTGGGCTACTTATGGACACTTATAATGATGTTGTAAAGTAAAAGAATATAAGCGTAAGTCGATGAAAAAAAATTGTCTGTTATGAACGTTGTGTTTTGAAAGCTAATAATCATTTTTCGAATTGTTGGGAATTTCAGTGACTAACCTGTTGAAATTTCCGTAAACAAACAAAACACATATTTATTTCGTGGATTTAAATGATTTTTTTTTAAACAGCTCCCCAAAATGTATTTATTTACTTAAGGCAACTGAGAGGTAGTGTGTGTGTGTGTGTGTGTGTGTGTGTGTGTGTGTGTGTGTGTGTTCCTTCTCCAATTCCCGTTCACATATCCCACAAACACAACTACTCTCTATTTCCCCTTCAATGTCTCCATTCCTTCTCCAACACCCCTATACCTTCTCCAACACCCCTATACCTTCTCCAACACCCCCTATACCTTCTCCAACACCCTCTATACCTTCTCCAACACCCTCAATCCATCCTCTAACACCCCCAATTCCTCCTCCAACACCCACAAATTCCTTCTCCAACACCCTCAATCCATCCTCTAACACCCCCACTTCCTCCTCCAACACCCACAATTCCTCCTCCAACACCCTCAATCCATCCTCTAACACCCCCACTTCCTCCTCCAATACCCACAATTCCTTCTCCAACACCCACAATTCCTTCTCCAACACACCAAATCCTCATCCAACACCCGCAATTCCTCCTCCAACACCCACAAATTCCTTCTCCAACACCTTCATTCCTTCTCCAACACTCCCTCCTCGTAAAAAGCTCCACCACAAAGGTATTTCTCCACTCTTAAGCCATCTTGGCCTGCCGAGTGAAACCCAATACATAAGTCTCTTCACTGTGGAAAACATTTATTGACAAACCAATTTTTATGTTACTGTTATTTTTCATATCTTAAAGAGTCCTGTGTGATTATGATACGTGATCTGGCCTGGGAGAAAATCGATCTTTTGCTTTTCTGTTCGTAGTCTCTCTCTCTCTCTCTCTCTCTCTCTCTCTCTCTCTCTCTCTCACTTTTATTTTCTTTCAATTCTTTTCTCTTCGTTTTTATTTTCGCTCCTCTCTCACTTTTTTTGTCTCACTTTGTTCTCGTTTTCTTTCTTTTTGCCTCTTATTTGTTTCTTATTTCTCTCTCTCTCTCTCTCTCTCTCTCGCTACAAGAAAGTCTAATAGGTAAATGTCATTCACAGGAAGATATTCCCTCAAAAAATATACATCTTTATGAGCTATATAAACAACTACTAACTTAGGAAGAGGTAGTGGTGGTGGAGAGTTGTAAGAGGAGGAGTCTTAGGAGTATGAGAAAGTTGTGGTGGAGGTGGTGGTGGAGGTGGGGGTGGTGGAGGTGGGGGAGGAGGAGGTGGAAGAGTAGGAGGAGTTGGAGGTGAGGAGGGGCAGGTGGTGGTGGTGTAGTAGGAGGAGGTTAGTGGTAGTGGTGGGGAGGGCAGTTGATCCTAATACCAGGTGAGAATAGGTCGTGTGTGTCATCTTCCAATATTTACCTGGTGATATTGGCGTCAGAGATCAATACGACGAAATATATAAGGATCATTATGTGGCAGAGAGAGGCAGAACAACACTGGGTTAAGATACACTCACTCACATACATACATACATACATATTTACATACATTCAGTTATAGGAGGTTGTACACACACACACACATACACATACACACACACACACACAAACAAACAAACACAGAGTAATGATTATTTTTCTTTTTCTTCAAACAGTGTTCATCACCACTGCTGTCAATACGGGAGAACAATTACCATTTGTCTAGGAAGGAAAATATTCACAATGGTTAATTTACCGACTCGCTTAAACCTAACAAGTGTGAAAAATAGTGAGGAGGGTGACTAAGGACTCGGCGGCGCCAGTACTGCACATGGCTATAAGGACTAATTTTCTTGTATAAATGTCAGTGAACCTCGCCAAGAAACGATGAATATATTAAATAATTTCTAATGAAGAAAATAAGTAAGAAATATATACTGAAGATAATAAGGAAAAATAGAAGGTTTAATAATAAAATTTTCTCTCTGAGATTTGGTGAAAAACAGTTAAGTAAATCTGTAACGAGCAGCTAACTGTTTGTTGAACTATAGTCTGTAAGGTTATATTAAGTGACTGTTGAAATGGGCCCCAGTCATAATGGGTAACAATACTAATGGTCAGGGTAGGGTAGATTGGGGCCCATCTGACCGGGGCCCATCTGACCTGGTCCCGGTGGTGTGGTCAAGGTATCACCCCCTCCACCATACGCTTCGCAGTGCCCACCTGTCGCAATGAACGTATACCTACAGTATTTAACTCTCCTCTAATTATAAAACAACCTAGTCAACCAAACCTTATTTAGGTTATTTAAATATTAGAATATATTAAACTCACTTACGAAACCGAAAATATCTAAATAACTTACGTTCCTCGATACATTGTTAACGAAAATTGACGGTTATTTTGTTGTGTTTACGATAACTTTGGTCCACAGGGTCAGTACTTGGCTGTGTTGAGTTTTACCCCGGAAGTCTACCAGAAGAACAATATTATATGAAAAATTGGTTCGTGGTTTCATAGCTCATGTTCGAGGTTTCACATAGCGGACATAAAGTGCTCACTGAACTGTTTCGTCCAAACTTCAACTGCAGTCGAAACTTTTTACGACTATTTAAGAACTAACATGAATCACCTTACCTGAAGTATGTGAGAGTCAATATCCAAAAGCAGTTCAGGTGAGCTACACTCTATCGACTTCGTTGCGCTGAGTCAAGATTCAGATGTTCCCAAACTGTTTCACTGATGGTTCGTTTCACCCGAGACTGTGACGGCTCCCTTTGCTATATTCACTTCAATGTTATCCTGCCTCATATTAGTGGTGCACTATTCCCTAAATCTATCACCAACTGGGTATGTCAGTTGGTTGCAAGTGTGTACAGGTATACTGCTCACGTACTGTTGGTGCCCTCCACTTGTCAACACACCCCTACAGCACCGCATGTTCACTCGCCAAAGTCTTCCACTCAACTCCCACACGTAACCCAACACCCCGTGAGTACCTGATCACTGTAGTATAACCACTCTCAGCAACACAACCTCCACAGTTAAGTTTTAGTTGTTGTAATGTATTTTCAGCTGTACAAATCTATAATATTTACTTAATTGTCATTATTCTTATAAAATATCCGCTCTTTAGCCAAATAGTAATTAATTAAACTTACGGACTTAAAACTCTGTTAACAAGTGCAACACTGAAGGTGAAGACTGTACTCACTCATACGTCCACCAACAACAAACGTAAAGAATTTGTTTTACAACCTCGCTGGTAAGATCTGTATTGCTCTGAGTGTGTGTGCGTGTGTGTGACTCTTATTTATTAAACCTCCTGTGCTTATTTGTGCAGCAAGTGACCACCAGAGAGAGAGGCGATGTTCTGTTGTTCAATATATATATATATATATATATATATATATATATATATATATATATATATATATATATATATATATATATATATATATATATATATATATATATATAGTGGAATAAACAGTTCCCTTATACATAGTTTTCCTGATGAACATAATATACGTTTTCCTATCTTCCTTTTTTGATGGAACTAATTTTTACAGATTTACCACCTATGCCATTTTCCGCCGTAATAGTCCACCTCCATGTGATCATTTCAATATGTTTGGCATCAAGTCTCCACGCTGATGATCCACCATCTTTATATCCCTCAGTTTCAGAGTGAATTATACCCACGAGATTATATCAGTTTGTGTTCTTCTTGTACTCCCCTTTACGCCAGGCGCTCCAGATCACTGCGATAATTCGACTAACACTGTCTGCTCTTATCGTTTCGTCTCGCTTCATTTACATCTCCCGAGTCGGTCACCAGTCGTATAGGGTGAAGGACTTGTACTCGTCTTAGAGTTTCAGCCTCTCATGTTCACCTCACTACTCTCAGCACGAATCAAGATTATTTGCATATCAGACAGAGACTGAGGGAAGGAGGGAGGGGGACGGAGGGGAGAAATAGGTTGGAGGTCAGGGTCAGAAGGGAATGGTGAAGGAGGTGAGGGAGACAAGGAGTGGAAGAAGTAGGCAGAGAGTAAGGAGGGGGAGGCAGGGGAAAGGGAGTGAGATAGATGGGGCAGTGGGAAGAGAGAGACAGTGCTCGAGGTGAGCTAAGCAGGAAGGGAGAGAACTAGAAGGGAGTGGAGGAGGAAGGGAGACAGGGGGACACATAGGGAGGGAGGGAGATAGGCAGAGTGACACATAGGGAGGGAGGGAGATAGGCAGAGTGACACATAGGGACGGAGGGAGGGTGTCCCACTAACATCTTACAGTATAAATTCAGCACCAGTAGGTTTCAGTCACCTTTGTCAGCTACAACATATAAGTCATAGTTGTTCCTCTTAATTATATATATACAACTCATCTCTATTTCTTAGTCTGCTTCGTAAACAAAAAAAAATAATAATACACATATTTATTTTGTAAGTTACACAGGTAAATGGACCGTCACGGTACAGTTAACTTCAATGATATGCTTAAATTTCTTAGAAATTCTTGTGTCTTGAAGAAAAGAAGTCTCCCACTGAAATGTCAAGTCACAAATTCTGTCGAACTTTCAAGACAGAATCTGTCTATTTTCGCACTCCCCATGAACCGGGGTTAAGAAAAGTGAACTGTTCATACAGTCACTTTTGGAGGAGAAGGTAAACTACATATTTTTTTTCACCTACAGTCACTACCAACACAGAGAACAAAATTACCAAGGTCAATATTTAACATAATCACACCAAGGCCTCTGTCTGTTAAACAATCTTAGTTATTTCCTTTCCGTGGAGGCTGCAGATTGTGTAACTTTTTTCTATTCTAATATTGCCTCATTTTCACACCGAGGTCACACACAAGTACAACTACTCGTCTTTATAGTGGCCAAGGTCATGTAGGATTAACTTCACGCTACAAACAACAACAGTTAACACATGATTCTCACTTTTAGGTCTTGTTTACATCATCACTGGCAATGTCAACAAACAGATAAGCCCCTTGAAGTCCCATCCCTGAAAATCCAGGGTCCTATTAAAGCCTTTCACTGGTTCTCGGGGTCTTATCTTGCTAAGGCTCTGTACCACTAAGGTTAGTACAGTTTGATATAACACTTCTGTAAACAACATTATGATAACACAAGAGAACATCGTAACATCTAACACTGTTTTTGTTCTCACAGGTTTAACAACAAAACATCACTCATGTGTGTAAACCCTCACAAGAACAAAGAAACGTTGGTCCAGGAATGTACACAAACGTTTGTTACACCCGCACAAGAGAAACGTTCGTCACAACAATTCACAGCAACTTGGAATTCAGCCCGAGTTCCCCATCGGGCGACTTAATTAAAAGTTCATTTGTAATGCTTGAAGTCGCGGGGTTTGCCGAGGCTTAAGCTGCTGCAGTTATTACTGCAATCACCGCAGCTGCTGCTGCTGCTGCTGCCGCTGTTCGTCTTGATTATAACTAAATTTGATACTTGACTGCAGCTGTTGATGATACAGCTGCTGAAGACGCCTCTCTGACTCCTGCTGGCCACCTCACTAGACGGAACTCTCCTTGTGCATGTGAACCACAGGACCGACGGAAACTTCGTGGAATCTATCTTCTCTGGCCAAGTACTCTGGACTCTTGGCCACCAGGTACTCTGGACTTTTGGCCACCAAGTACTCTGGACTCTTGGCCAACAAGTACTCTGGACTCTTGGTCATCAAGTAATCCGGATTCTTGACCACAAAATATTCTGGATTTTTGGCAAAAAAATCGGGATCCTTGGCCACCAGGTACTCAGGTGTCTTGACCAGGAAGTCGGGGTCCTTGGCCAGGTAGTCTGGGTTGAGAGCTACGGTGGAGGAGGAGGCGCGGGAGGATCTGGAGGAGGTCGTCTTGGAGGTGTTGGTGCAGATGGAGGAGGGCGTGGAGCACCTGCCGAGGGAGTCCACCGAGGCCAAGGGCGCAGACCTCTCTCTCAGGAGAACGTCTGTCTCCAGGGCTGCCACGCCCGACTGTTAGAGGAGAGACAACAAGGATCAGTGTTGTTGTTGTTGTTGCGGTGTGTGTGCGTGTGTACGTGTGTGATCGTGTATGAATCCTAAGTTACTGTGTGCGTGTTTACGTACGCGTGTTTGTAAACTTGTATACAAGTGTGTGTGCTTGTATCTTTAATATTTCTTTTGAAATGTATAACAGTCACAGACTAACATATGTTTACATATTTCAATAGACATCTATGAATACATACAGTATATCAACACACGCACACACACACACACACACACACATATATATATATATATATATATATATATATATATATATATATATATATATATATATATATATATATATATATATATATATATATATATATATATACACCTTTGTAAAGCATTATTTTCACAGGCGGAAGGGTAATTAAAGTAAAGCCACTTGGGTAATTATACTTACTCCTACTGGGGGAGAAACAAGTCTTAATTTTTGGGAAAAATCCATTCCCCAAAAGCCTTAATAATCGAGTTACGGGAAAATCTCTACTTGAGTAAAATTGCGGCTTCCTTTTAAATAAAAATCCCTGCTGGAGGAGACAAATCCTCTTGGTGTAATAAGACTGCCCAGTTCTCTTGGTAATTTTTTTTTCTTGGGAAAAATTCCAATTCTAGGAGAAAATCCTTAATAAGGAGAGAAAGGACGCGACTCCAGCATCATATCTTTGTTAATGGGTTTAAATTTAGGGGAAAATCCCTGTCTGGATAAATCCTAAGGGACATCCCTACCACAGCAAAATACAAGACGAGAATTCCAACTGCGTTAACTTTCCTCAGAAAATTCCCTGGTAGGATTAAATTCCAGGGAAAAATTCTTCAGATAGTTGAACTCAAAGGGAGAAGTACCTACCAAGGCTAAGTGAAAATATCCTCAGCAAGGATAAATTCTGGGGAAGAAAATTCCATGAGAACTAAATTCTAAGCGCAAACCCTAATAAAGTTTAATTCGAGGAAGAAAACATTTACTCGGGTTAAAAGTAGAGCAAAAAATCCCACCCCCCAAAAATTGCACAAAAAAGATTAATTTATGAGAAAAATCCCCATTGAGGTTGAATTATGGGAAGGAAAATCCCCAAGGGAACTCAACTCTAGGGAAAAACCCTTACTGAGGTGAAATACTAAATGAAAATTCATCTTGGGTTCGAACCAGTGTACTTACGTTATTCAGGAGGGTGGACGGGTTCACGTAAAAGCTTCCCACTGTACCACCGCACACCGAGTTCTTCATTAACTCTTCCTTTTCACATTCTGTAGGATGAGAGAGGTTGGTGAGAGGGAGCGCTATGGTGTGGTGAGAGGGCTTTGGTGAGAAGGAGTGCTATGGAGTGGTGAGAGGGCTTTGGTGAGAAGGAGTGCTATGGAGTGGTGAGGGGGCTTTGGTGAGAGGGAGTGCTATGGAGTGGTGAGAGGGCTTTGGTGAGAGGGCTTTTGGGCTTTGGTGAGAGGGGGGGCTGTGAAGGGAGTGGTGAGAGGGGTATGGTGACAGTATGGTGGTGGAAGGGGGCGATGAGAGGGCTTCCGGAATAGTAGAGTGGTTAGAGGGGATGGTGAGTGGGGGATATGAGAGAGGGGGAGTGGTGAGAGGGGATGCTGATAGATGTTGGTAAGAGATGGAGATGAGAGAGAGAGAGAGACGGGGTAAGTGCTACATACTGCATATGTATCCCTGAGCAGATACCGGAAGTGTGTACCACCAGCCTTTTGTAATCTATCTATCTATCTATCTATCTATCTATCTATCTATCTATCTATCATCCATGTATGTATGTATGTATGTATGTATGTATGTATGTATGTATGTATGTATGTATGTATGTATCTATCTGTCTATCTATCATTCATGTATGTATGTATGTATCCATGTATGTATGTATGTATGTATGTATGTATGTATGTATGTATGTATGTATGTATGTATGTATGTATGTATGTATGCATGTATATATGTATGTATATATGTATGTATGTATGTATGTATGTATGTATGTATGTATGTATGTATGTATGTATGTATGTGTCTGTCTGTCTGTCTGTCTGTCTGTCTGTCTGTCTGTCTGTCTGTATCTCGCCAGAGGCTCATCACCGCCGCCGGTGTGGACATTAATAACACAGATGTCTCTTTACAAATTCATCTCAGGAGCTTATGTCTACCCTCTCTCGCAACCTCTTTCTTAATATTGAAGGAAGGAAGGAAGGAAGGAAGGAAGGAAGGAAGGAAGGAAGGAAGGAAGGAAGGAAGGAAGGAAGGAAGGAAGGAAGGAATTAACAGGAGTGAAAAAGTTTACAAACAGGAAGACAGACAGACAGACAGACAGACAGACAGACAGACAGACAGACATACTAAGGGGCATACAGACTAACAGACAGACAGACAGACAGACAGACAGACAGACACAGACACACTAACATATACAAACAGACAGACAGACAGACAGACAGAGACAGACAGACAGACAGACAGCCAGACCTTACCTCTATTAACACAGACAATGGTGTGGACATCATGGTTCTCCTGGCCGTCCTTAAGAGGCCCAGCATAGAGTATCTTGGCGCCGCTCTTCCTCCGCCTCTGTCTCTTGGCCAGGATCACGCCCACGCCCACACAAGCCGACACCGCCACCAGGACGCCCACCAGCAGCACCAGGAAGGGCGTGATGGATAGTAAGGCGTTGTGGGCGTGAGGAGAGACGACCTTATCAGCAGAGGCGGCGCTGGCAGTGTAGGTGATGGTCAACGGGGGACTAGAGCCACGGGAATTGGCCGCTGTCACCGTCAGTAGATATTCCACGCCCACTTTCAGTCTGTTAATGGGGAGAAAATGGGCGTGTGATGGGTAAAAAAATTAATGGGAGGTAATGGGTAGTAAATAGGCTACTCAGACCGTGAATAGGAACTTCACACACACTTTCAATCTGCTAATGGGGAGGAAAATTGAAGTGTAATAGGTAAAAAATGTAATAAGGTAATGGGTAAATAGGCTATTGTGACCGTAAGAAGGTACTCCTCGCCCACCTTCAGACTGTAATGGGGAGGAAATAGCCGTGTAATGAATGGGAGGAAAATGGGTAACAGAATACTGGAAGAAATAATGGGTAATGGTGATGAACTATGTGTGTTAGAAGTAAAGTGAGAATTAATGGGTTAATAGGCGATAGAGAAAAGGGGAGGAAGATAAGGAAGAAAACACGTGGCTGCGGAAGAAAAGAATCATGGAAGAGAGAGAGAGAGAGAGAGAGAGAGAGAGAGAGAGAGAGAGAGAGAGAGAGAGAGAGAGATAAAAATATACAAAAGAAATGAAAGCAAAGAAAGACGAATCAAGAAAACACTTACTGGAGGCTGAAAGACACTCACCAACTCTCACGTTCTCCCACATACTTACCCTGTGATGATGAAGAGAGGGTCTGGTGCATGACGGAAGGCCTCCAACACCTCTTCCTTGGCTGCCTGACGGACCTCCAGGGTAAAGGTTTGGTTCAGCCCGCCGTCCCACCCTGGCAGACACGTCATCACCACATACGTAGCTGGCATAGTCGCGTTCCTCTCTGCTCGACATTCCGTTACAGACTCTGGCTTGGCTGTGGAGGAGAAAGAAATCTGTTAAAAAATCTGTTTGTGTTATCTCTTTGTCTTGTTGTGGGTGAGAAAGATGTCTGTTAAATATGACTGTGTTATCTATCTGTCTATCTGGTAATTTTCTGTTCATCTATCAACGAAACGCGTGAGAATGAAAAAAACAAACAGAAGCTCTTAAAAGAATAAACTCCAAACGGAAACTAAACACACAACGCACCTAACTCTGGACCCGCCACCAGAATGTATATCGGAAACAAACTAAAGAGGTCACAAAAAATAGAACTCACAAATACAAACACAAAAGCAAATTGTATAACAAAATATATATCAAACAGAAACAACAAACTTAAAAACACACACAAAACGAAAACACCAGAGAAAACGCAATGAAAACGCTTCAGAACCCTGTGGAAAAAAAGGTTCATGCGTTCACACGATAGTAAACAAAATATTACCCTACATCTGCAAGCCCGAGTTTAAGTTTTACTTGGGTACGCTTTTGCACTCAGCTGGAGGTCGACCTTCAAGGGGAAGGTGTAGCAGAACTCTGTAGGTGTGGATGATTTAATTTATCGCTAGCTATTACTTGGGATATGACTTTATACGTACAGGTACACATATATAGTACAGGTACAGATATACGAGTAAAGCACAGGTACAGGTAAAAGTAGTGGTATGTACAAGTACAGACAGTACAGATACAAGTACTGGTACAAAACAGGTACAGGTACAAATACTGATACAAATACAGGTACAGTTACAAGTACTGGTACACAGACAGGTACAGCAATAGGTATATAGATGAAGGTAAAAGAACAAGTAAGGGCTCAGGTGATGCAAAATGTTTACATTACACAAACAATGCCCGTGTTTAATGTTGATGAATGTGTTACATCATCCTGTAGAGAAACTATGCAACGATACATATCAATTTTAAAAAGTGCTAGTGCAAAGGTGACAAAGTTTGGTTAATGTTGGTGATAAAGGAAATAATGATAGTGTAGGCTGAGGTGCCAGAAGACAATCATTAAATCGATAGGAGTCTTAATATATCGGGTGACAAGTTTAATGGCGTCGGGTTGTTGTGGCGTCGATGGGACTTCGTAACATTCTTCCCTTAATGTACGCACCTTTAAAGCTGTTTACGCAACTCTCAAATTTGGCATGATGTTACTTGAACAGTGTTAGCCCTATTGTCGAAACGGAAGTATCATCACATGGTCACTGTAAGCCTGAGGGCAGCTGAGAGTAACTACAGAGACGTGTGGTGACCTGAACACCAGCTTGGGGGGGGGGCGGGCGGGGGGTGGCGCTGTAATTAAATACTTGTATATTTCCATTTATCGGCTTACCTCTTCGTTTAGACTAGCATAATATAGTTATATACATAGACAGACAGACAGACAGACAGACAGACAGACAGGCAGACAGATAGATAGCACAACTTTAAGTGGTATACACCCTGTTGGGGCTTTAAAATTTATTTACTGATAGTTCAGTTGGGTGGAGAGAGAGAGAGAGAGAGAGAGAGAGAGAGAGAGAGAGATATTGTAAACGCTTAAGACCGTATTATTAAACAACATCTTCCATTGAAGAGGGTCATTGTGTTTCAACCCGAGTTTTAAACTAAATGAGTCCTGAGGGACACCGAGGTACAGTACTTAACGGGGTGGTGTGGCGTTAAAATTAACTAATTCCAATAACATTAATTTATAATATTGGAATTAGTTAATTTTACCGCCACACCACCCCGTTAAGTACTGTACTGCGGTGTCCTTCAGGAATCATTTAGTTTAAGACTCGGGTTGAAACACGACGACCCTCTTCAAGGGAAGATGTTGTTCAATAGTACGGGCTTAAGACTCATACCACAAACAATAGATTCTGTACCAGCACCATGCACGATTTACTGTACAGTCACCCACAAAAGTCCTGTCGCTTCTCCTCCTGAACCACGAACCCCGAGATTCAGACTCGTGAAGCCGAAGCATTTGTGGACAGAATAATGTATCAGTGTCTACTGCTTCAGGTTCATGAGTCTATTTTTTGTTTTTTATTATTTATTGGGCACTCCCCTACAGCCTTGTGCAAGGTGAAGCGCAAAAGCGTTTACAGTGCCCAACAGGGAAGCATGCTAAGTTCATGCTTGCCTTTATGTCTCATGAGTTAAGGGCGTAGAAGCCTGAAGAGTCAAGGGCATAGAAGCCTGGAGAGTCAATGGTTTATGTCATCAAGTTATTGGAAGCTCCAACAACTTGTCCCTGAATACGAATTCGCAACTTTCGGTTTACACCAGGTACCTACTTTACTGCTAGGTGAACAGGGGCTAATGGGGGTTAGGAAGTATGTCCAAACAACTTCCACCGGCCCGGGAATCGAACCCGTGACATCTCGCTTGCGAAGACAAGAGCGGTACCACTCTACCACCAGCACCCCGTTCACGAGTCTAAATCTCGGGGTTCGTGAACAGCAGGAGAGGAGACAGGACTTTTGTGGGTGACTGTACCTCCTTCTAGGGTCCTCTTCCCCTCTCTCTCCACTTAGTGAACAAACAAATTTATTCTTCCTCTTACCAGCAGTCGACACTTCGTATAAGACACGAGAGACAACTCACCTGCGGGTATAACGTGGAAGACACAAGGGTCCTGCTGAGAGCCGATGTCGTTCTGGGCCCAACACAGCAGGTGGCCGAAGTCATGGTGAGTCTGCGGGGTGTAGCGGACAGTGGATTTGTTCCCGCTGCTGCTGGAGAGGTTGAGAGCCACGTCCACCACACCTGTTGATGTGTTCACCGCCCACCTGTGAGAAGACATTTGTTATAGATATGTTGTGATCTTGTCTCTCTTCATTCATTCGTCTTGTTAGGATCGTCTTTGTTTATGTATGCTTATAACCTGTTGTTTACCTCCCGTCATTCTATCTGTTTTGAATGATAGCATGCTTCTTCCCTCTCTCCCTCTATCCATTCTTCACTTTCTCTCACTCTCTCTATTCATCCATTCTTCCGTTACTCTCACTATCCCTTCCTCCACTCATCCATCTCTCTCTCCCTCCATCTCTCTCTCCCTCCATCTCTCTCTCCCGTGGCAGACAACTTGACTCACCTGAATGAGATGGGTTCGGGGTACGACTGCACGTGGCAGGGTACGTGTAGTTGCTCGTGCCTGGCCGCGCCGTACACAGTCTGCTGACCTTCGGCGCACGTAGGGGGGACTGTGGGGGGAGTGGGGGAAGGGGGAGATTAGTTAGGGGAGAAATTAATAGGGAACACTCCTATTAATGGATGCGAGAAGAAAGGGAAGACCTGTTATGAAACTAATTGGTTTAATATCAATAGGGAATATATAATAGGTAAATTAATACGGTGAGAACTTAAATAGGGAGGATAATAGGGGAGAATTTAGCTACAGTAATAGGGAGGAGATTGAAAGAGAAGAGCACTGATAATGAAACAGTAATAGGGGGTAATAATAGGGTGATTAACAAGGGGTGAAAAACTTAGCAAATAGGAAGTAGAATAATAAGTGATAACATAATAGGAATGACAATAGGGAAATACCTAAAATTGGGAGATTAATAGAAAGTAAAAAAGGAAATAGGAACCGGAAGAGATAAAGAAAATACCACAAATTGAAACTAAAAATAGAACGCGTTGAAACTTTTTGTAGGGGAAATTGTAAAGAGATGGAAAAGTTTGGGAGTGAAGAAAGATGTTGAAGAAGCCTTTGGAGAGTTATAGGCTGTTTGGAGGGAGTTGTAGGAAGCTAAAGACTGTTGGGAGGTTTTGAAGGCTTTTGTAGGAGGATACTCGCATTTGACGGCCAGGTGGAGTGTTATATTAAGTGTATATTAAGGGTGTTGGAGGAGTATATTAAGGGTGTTGGAGGAGTATATTGAGAGTGTTGGAGGAGTATATTAAGGGTGTTGGAGGAGTATATTGAGGGTGTTAGAGGAGTATATTAAGGGTGTTGGAGGAGTATATTGAGGGTGTTGGAGGAGTATATTGAGGGTGTTGGAGGAGTATATTGAGAGTGTTGGAGGAGAACATCTTAAACTGTCAGAGAAATATACGAAGGGTCTTGACAGGATACACTCACACTTAACAGCTATCTGGAGGGCGTCAGAAGTGCGTGCCCCCTCCGGGTTGGCAGCGGCGCAGGTGTAGGTGCCCGTGAAGGCTCTCGTCACGCCCTGGAGGACCAAGGTGTCGTAACTCACATGAACACCCTGAGTCAAGTTGTTCTGAAGAGGAACACCCTGTAGAGGAGAGAAGACAAGAGCTGGGTAGTAGTGGTGGTGGTAGGGGTGATGGTGGTGGTGGTGATGATGGTGGTAGGGGTGGTGGTGGTGGTGATGGGGGTGGTAGGGGTGGTGGTAGAAGTGCTGGTGGCAGTATTGGTGGTTTGGTGGTAGTTGTAGTGGTAGTAGTTGTGGTGGTGATGAATGACGAATATATAGCTATTTTCTTTCTTGAATATATATTTTTTTTATGTTGAAGTTATGAATAAGGTCGAAGATATTTAAGGTAGGGTCAAGTAAGATCAGGTTTTGCTGGACTTAAGGTCATGTCACAGGTCGATGATGAGGTTAGGTTAGGTTAGGTATTGTTGTTAGTATAGTTTTCTTTTCTATCTCGTAAGTTAAATAATGAATTAGCTATGGTCAGGTTTCGTTAAGCTACAGTAGGTTAGGGATAGGTTACGTTAAGTTTGGCTAAATTAGGTTAGGGTTGGTTAGAAGTTGCTTCAGTTAGATTAAGGCTAGATGGTGTTTCCTTGAGTTAAGTCAGTCTATGTTAGCTTTAGTAAAATTTGGTTAGGGTAAGGCAGAGTTATTGGGTAGGGCTGACTAAATTAAGTTAGTATGTGTGGCTGGTTACGTGTGTGAGACCAGGTCCGTGATATATCAGTGAGTAACGTCGTGGACACACACACACACACACACACACACACACACACACACACACACACACACACACACACACACACACACACACACACACACACACACACACACACACGTATTTTCATTAAATCAACATACAAGGTCACACTGGTCCAGCAGATACATAAACAGTACAGGTATACAAACGGTGCAGGTATACAAACTATATACATTGACAGTGTAGATATAATAATATACATCGATATTATAGGTATACGAAAAATGATAAAGAATAAGTCCATATGCCCATCGATAGCCCAAGGAAGCCATTTATAAGCATCAGATACACGTTGTAGAGTTAGTTGGAGGGACTTATCAATAACAACAATTACAATAATAATTATATAATGAAATAGACATAAAGTAAGCTACCGTCTTGTAACACACCGCTGGGAGTCTCGTAACACCCACAGGATCTCTCCTTCACGCCGACAAATTAACATAGAGACAAAAACAGTAATTTTCTCTCCCCCGCCGAGTGTGTATTGTCATGCGTATAATTTTTACCTCCTTCCGCTCTCTTCAACACGTTAACAACCACTTACTGCTTGATGTGGGCCTATCTCTATCTCTTTTTTTCTCTCTTTTTTCTCTTTTTTTATTCTCTCTCGTTCTCTCCCTCCTTCACTCTCTCTCTCTCTCTCTCTCTCTCTCTCTCTTTCTCTCAGTTCACACCATGTTTCCCTGAGTCTTTGCTCTCGGCCTCCCCTCTCACTGTGTCAACACCTGTTATATGATCACCACTATCTTGTTGGATGGGGTTGGCTCGTCCAGTTTTTGGAATGGTTGGGGGTGAAGTCTGGGAGGTTTGGGAGGTTGGAGGTGAGGTTTGGGATGATGGAGGTGAATTCTGAGAGGCTTGGGAGGTTGAGGTGAAGTCTAGAAGGTTTGCGATGTTTGAAGGTGAAGTTTGAGGAAGGTTGGAGGGGTGACTTGAAATTGGGGTGATATTGGAGTGAGGTTTAGGGAGGGTTGGAGGGACGATTTAGGAGAATTTGGGATTTTGAAGGTTGGAGTGAGGTAGGGGGGGATGTTTGGAGAGAGTTGGAGTGCGTTATGGGTAGCTTCGAGATTGGAGTGTGTTGTTTGAGAAGGGTTAGAGATACGGTTTTGGAATTTGGGGTGAGTTTAGGTCATGTTAGGAGATTATTGGAGGTTTAGAGGTGATGTTTCGGTTAGGTTAGGTTAAGTCTGAGGAAGGCTGGGGTTAACGTGAGGCAAAAGTAAGCTTAGGGAGAAATAGGGGAGGTTGAGCATGGATAGAATGGGGAAAGCTGGGGTTGGCATGTGACGATGGCCAAGGCTTCAGGGACTGGCTGACACATCAAGCCCTCTCTCTATTTGCTTGTTGTTAAAAGCTGGAAGCCAAAAGTCACAAATATAGGAAAACCTCGGAAATGTAGATATGTGTACACGGGTAACTGTTAGGGTAGTGGAGGTAAGGGTCTCTCTCTCTCTCTCTCTCTCTCTCTCTTCCTCACCTACTCACTCTCTCTCTCGTCATCTCTCTCTCTCTCTCTCTCTCTCTCGTCCTCACCTACTCACTCAATTTCTATCTCTCGTTTTATTATTTACTCTCTCTACTCACGTTGTGGGCCCATTGGACACCCGTGACGGCAGGGTTCGCGCTCACCAAACACCTGAAGATCACATCATCACCTTCCTCAACGTCTTCCAAATCCAGGTGAGGATCGAGCTGCAACACCAACTGAGGCTTATCTGGAGGAGGAGAAGAAAGAGGACAAGGATGACTTATAACCGACGACTTGAGTAAGACATTGAGACATGGAGGACGAGAAATGAAGGAACTTGAAGACTCAGCGAGACAGAAAGCTTAAAGAACTTTGGGAATATATCAGAGTTTAATTTTATTCATGGGATTTCTGACCTCAGGATAGAGAGCATTTATTATATACAGTGACAGAAAGGATAAAATTTAGACTCAAGGAAATAAATAATAATAATAATAATAATAATAATAATAATAATAATAATAATAATAATAATAATAATAATAAACACTGAATGGAAACTGGAATACGAAGCATCATTATTAAAAGAAAAATACGAAAGAGAGAGAGAGAGAGAGAGAGAGAGAGAGAGAGAGAGAGAGAGAGAGAATTATCACCTTTAAATGCCAGAGCTCCATTAACTGATTCATAAATTGGTTAACAGAACGACCAAAAAGTAACAAACATTCAAATTTACTTTCATCCTCAACCTTGTTTGTTTTGGTCTTTTGAAGTTGGATAAAAAAAAAACAGAAACAATTCAATTATCTTCTTTATTTCAAATTTACTCTTGATTTATTTTTTAATGTTATTTTTTCTCTTATTTTGGGATGTTAGACCAATATTTTTTTACGTTTTCGGTTTTTTCTTCTATTTGTTATTTTTCTTTGTGTTTCTTTTTATAATTTCTTATTGAATTATGTATAAGTTTTATTACCTATCTATATTTTCATCAAATTCTATATCATTATTTATTCATATTAACTTTTATTCATTTATTTTAAGTCACTTCCATCTCTTATTTGGAATGAAGTAAATATTTTTATTTATTTTATTTGAGTTTATTAATATCTGTTTTCATCCTTCTTCTTCTTCTTCTCGTTATTTATTATCAATCGTTATAATTACACCTTCTTCTGAGTATCTACAGAACCGGTATAGCAATTTGCAGAGCAGGTACAAATACTGTATAGCAATTTGCAGAGTAGGTATAAATACTAAAGACTTGCAGGGATAGTTAAGTGCAGTATATATATTTACAGAGCATTTGTAAGTATATATTTGATGTGTATAGCAAACTACAGGCTTTGTGAAGGTATTTCTAAGAGTTGAAGGAGTGCATAGCAATCTTCGGTGCATAGCTATAGATATAATATGTGCATAGCAACCTAAGGAAACGTGATACTAGTTATAAAGTGGTATACCTACTGTATACTGTATGTACTGTTTGCATGAATAGTATACAGTATACATAAAAGTTTATATTTACATAGCACAGATAACGACTTACACAGGCACTGAAAAGCTTACACAGAGCAGAAATATCCAGGTACAGAGCACATAGAGCTATGGGTTATATACAGGGTAGAGAGTGCCACTTACAGAGTACATATACCTACTTATAAAGCAGAGAGAGACACTAATAGAGCAGATACAGCTACTTATAGAGCATACAGACACATAGCTACATACAGAGAACACAGAGCTACTTAGAGAATACAGAGCTACTTACAGAGAACACAGAGCTACTTACAGAACACATACAGTTTCTTACAGAGAACACAGAGCTACACAGAGCAGTCCGCCACTACAACAAAATTCAGCCCATAAGAGCCTGCACCGACAGATATAAGAATAGCACCATCCCATCTATTGTTAAAATAATAAACAACTCCTGATTTATGTACTGCACAGCCCGGTAAATGTATTCGACGCATATCATTATGTCTAAATCACATGTAAGTTTGTATATTTTCAGCCACCGACTGCAACTCTATTAATAAACCGCTTATTATTATTATTATTATTATTATTATTATTATTATTATTATTATATTATTATTATTATTATTTAGAACACAGAGGTACTTACAGAACACATAGAGCTACTTACAGAGCACATGGAGCTACTTACAGAGATCACAGAGCTACTTACAGTGAACACAGAGCTACTTACAGTGAACACAGAGCTACTTACAGAACACATACAGCTACTTACAGAGAACACCGAGCTACTTACTGAGATCACAGAGCTACTTACAGAGAATACAGAGCTACTTACAGACCACACAGAGCTACTTACAGAGAACACAGAGCTACTTACAGTGAACACAGAGCTACTTATAGAGCACACAGCTACTTACAGAGAACACAGAGCTACTTATAGAGCACACTGAACTACTTTCAGAAAACACAGAGTTACTTATAGAGCACACAGAGCTACTTACAGAGAACACAGAGCTACTTATAGAGCACACAGCTACTTACAGAGAAAACAGAGCTACTTAGAGATCACATAGCGCTAATTAAAGACCATACAGAGCTACTTACAAACCACACAGAGCTACTTACAAACCACATAGAGCTACTTACAGAGCCCACAGAGCTACTTAGAGACCACATAGAGCTACTTACAGAGCACGGTGATCTTGGTGGAGTTCTCAAGGACAAGATCGGGAAGGCCAGGGCTGAACCCTCGACAGGTGAGCAGTGACCCGTTGTCTCCCGAGTCTGGAGTCAAGGTCAAGGTGGAGCGTGACACCTCCCCCTCGATCTCCACCTGAAAAGAGAGAGGCCAGATGTCTGTTAGTATGATCTCCTCCTCCATCTCCTCTTGATCCATCTCTTCCGTCTCCTCCTCCTCCTCCATCTCCTCTTGATCCATCTCTTCCCCTCTTGATCCATCTCTTCCGTCTCCTCCTCCATCTCCTCCTGATCAATTTCTTCCTACTCCTGACCCCATATTCTCCCCCTCCATCTCCTCCTGGCCCATCTCCTTTTCCTGACCCCATATTCTCCCCCTCCATCTCCTCCTGGCCCATCTCCTTTTCCTGATCCTCTTCCTCCTCCATTTCTTCCTAACCCATCTCCTCCTTCTCCCTCTCCTCCTCCTCTTCTTTCACTTCCTGCTGATACAACTCCATTTCCTCCTCCTCCTCTAGCACCTTCACTTCCACCTCCAGGTAATTTCATCCACCTCCCCTTCCACCTCTTTCACGCTCTTGTCCACCTTAGACTCCACCCCTAACTCCACTCGGCTGTATTTCTGCCTCCGCCTCCATCAATCACCTCCATCCCCTGTAACACCACCACCACAACCATCACTCACTACCACCACCACCCACTACCTACTACTACCACCAACAATCACCCCTAAGACCCACCATCACCACCCAGCTCCACCCACCACCAATACCCACCTCCACCTTCCCAACAAAAACTTACCTCAAACATAAAACACAATTTACTGACACAAATCTTTTCTAACAATGGGATGAAGATTACAACAAATACCATAAAATATTCACCCTTCATAATGGCGTCTTTTAATATCAAAGACTCGAGAGTTGCCGAGGTTAAGTACATGTTTCACTTAAGTAAATTAGTTAGGGGTCAGTTGTGGAAGGAGGGACCTAAAGGTTTGGGAGGTCAGGTACTGGACAAAAACATGAATTTTGGATAGCTTGCTGCACCTGGTGATCCCGGGGGAAGGGGGCGGGGTGAAATGAAGAAGGATTTATTTTCATCTCTCTTTTTTTCCTTTTATATCCACCTCCCTGTCTTCTTTCTCTTTCTCTACTTCTGTCTCTCTCTCCCTCCATCTCTGCCTTTGCATTTCAACTCTCTTTCTAACTTTCTTCCTTTTCCTAATTTTACTCTCTCTCTCTCTCACACACAACACATACAGTACAGCAGTAGGACTCACCATGGTGGTATGGCCGAGGGGGGAGCCATTCTTCCACCACTGAAGGCGTGCGGGAGGACGAGCTCCTCTCCCCTCGCAGGTCAAAGCTCGCCCTACGCCCTCCGTCAACGTAACCTGACCTTCTGACCCCGCCACCAGCCGAACTGACGTGGGAGGGTCTGTTAAGGGGAGATACAGGTGAGTAAAGGTGAGAGAGATACTGAGAGATATTGGAGAGATTTTTTATTTTTATTTTATTTATTTTTTGATTGTCTGTGTGTGTCTGTTTGTATACTTCTGTATCTGTCTATCTTCCTGTCTATCTCTTTGGTTGTATATCTGCCTATCTGTCGTTTCATATATCTGTCTGTCTTCCTGACCCAATTCACCCCCCCCCTCATCTTCCTAATTCCCTTCCTCCTCCTCTTCCTCCTCCTCCTCCTTCCCCTCTATCTCCTCCTGACCCATCTTCTCCTCCTCCTCCTCTTTCATTTCCTGCTGCCTGCGTGTCTGTCTGTCTGTCTGTCTGTCTGTCTGTCTGTCTGTCTGTCTGTCTGTCACCTTCCTTAACGGCACCAACATACTCCTAGCGTCACCTGCAGGTCTATCAATGACGTCACCATACAGGTCAATACTTACACTTCATGTCTATCGTGACAGCCTCTGACAGGGGTATGGTGAGGTCAGAGTTCGCGGCTTGACACGTTAAGGTCTTGTTGAGGTCACTTCGGGTCAGCGGAGGCAGCGAGAGGGCGTTCCTGGTGACCTGACCCGTCATGACCTCGCTCACGTCGTCTAGGAGTGACCCCTCGTGCCACCATGCCACCTGAGGTCGAGGGTGACCTGAAACACATGGGTTGAAAAGGTCATGGGAAGGTGATCATTAATCGGAGGCTAAAAGTTAGGGACACACACACACACACACACACACACACACACACACACACACACACACACACACACACACACACATATTATAAAACGGGAAACATGAGTAATACAATAAATAAGGAATAACAAAAGGGGACACACGAACAAACAACAAGAAACGAGGAAAACGGGAGCAGTGAAGAGTAAACGTCAATAATAAACAAACAAACAAAAGAAATATGATTCGAATAGAAGAATGATACGTGAATAACAGTAACAAAGGTAAAAAAAAAGGAATAAAAATCAACAAAACGAAAAAAAACAGAAAATACGAGAGATAATTATATAATGAACAGAAGATACGAAGGAAAGGATGAACGTGAGAGTAGGAAAAAAGAGGGGAGAGAGTAGGTAAATACGGAGGGAAAAGGAAGAAAGGGGAGAGGAGGAAAAAAGATGGAAGGAGGGGTAAAAGAAATAAAAGTGGGGAGAAGAGGTGTGAAGGGAGAAGAGGTGAAAAAGGAGAGTAGGGAGAGAGAATGAGAGGAGAGAAGGGAGAAGAAAAAAGGAGAGAAGAGAGAAAATGGATAGGGTTGAGACGAGGAAAGCTGAGAAGGGAAGATGAGAGAGAGAGAGAGAGAGAGAGAGAGAGAGAGAGAGAGAGATGCCCTTTCCTCCCCTTATGCTCTAAAAATCAAAGTTGGGATCTCCTTTGTAACTATAAACTCAGCCTGTGTGCCGAGCTTGGAATCTGTGACTAAAGGAATTACTTAATGCTGTGTGTGTATGTCGTAGCATGTACACTTTAATAGTGTTATATGTGTCCCTCACTCTACACACACACACACACACACAAACACACACACACACACACACACACACACACACACACACACACACACACACGCCAGAGCTGAGGACCATCTACAACGCCTTTATTCTCCCCAAACTAACGTATGCGTCACCAGCCTGGTCGTCTTCTCTCCACTCCACCCAACAACGTCAGCTAGAGAAGGTACAGAAAAGGGCCTGCAGAATCATGCTCGGCGCAGAATACTCCGGCTACACCAACGCTCCCTCTATCCTGGAAATGACATCCCTCAGTGACCTCCACCACCAAGCACTGGAAAGGTTTGGCAGCCAACTAATGCACCACCCGCGTCATCGCCACCTCCTGCCACCGGCAGCCCCCAACCCACTTCGCTCAGTCTGCCACTACAACAAAATTCAGCCCATAAGAGCCCGCACCGATAGATATAAGAATAGCACCATCCCGTCTATTGTTAAAATAATAAACAACTCCTGATTTATGTACTGTACAGCCCTGTAAATGTATTCAATGCATATTATATCATTATGTCTAAATCAAATGTCAGTCTGTATATTTTCATCCACCGGCTGCAACTCTATTAATAAACCATTTATTATTATTATTATTATTATTACACACACACAGGGCAGATCCTCAAACCCGGATTTTTATAGTTTTTGTCCACATTAAATTTCATCTGCCATTTTTCAGACCATTCGAAAAATTTGTTTAGATATTCCTATAGTTTATAGTTTTGCAGAGTCCTCATTAGATTTAATTACACACCCTATTTTAGTGTCGTCAGCAAATTTACTTATGTTGCTGTCTACGTCTATATCTATGTCATTTATGGATATAATAAATAATAATGGTTCAAGAACTGAGCCTTGGGGTACTCCATTAGTGACGCTACCCCAATCGGAATTAGTGCCGTTAATGCTTACTCGCTGTTTCCTGTCCTGTAACCACGCCCTAATCCAATTTAAAATATCTCCTCCAATGCCATGAGCTTCCACTTTTCGTATTAGTCTTTCGTGGGGGACTCTGTCGAAGGCTTTGTTAAAGTCGAGACATACCATATCATAGTCGTGCCTGTCGTCCACTGATTCGAAAACAGCTGAAAAGAATGTTAATAGATTGGTCAGACATGAACGCCCACTTGTGAAGACATGTTGGGAATCATTGATCAACTTGTGCTTCTCCAGGTGATTTTGAATAGAGTTTGAAATGATTGCTTCCAGCAAATTGCCTACAATTGATGTTAAACTGATTGGACGGTAGTTAGAGGATAGTGATCTATCTCTCTTGTTGAAAATCGGTATAACATTCGCTATCCTCCACAAATCTGGTGCTATACCCGCAGACTAAGTTATTCCTTACATTTCTTTAATACTCTGGCAAATATCTCCTCGGGACCAGGTGAATTATTAGGCTTTAGTTTGTCTACTTGCTTACTAACACCGTTACAAGTCACTACTATCTCGCTTAATTTATTTTCTTCACTATCTCTGTATATAGTCGGTGCCTCGGGTATCATGTTTAAATTTTCGGTGGTGAAAACTGTTGAAAAATATCTGTTCAGATTATTGCTCATTTCTCCATAGTTATCTGCTAGCTCACCGGTATCTGACTGTATTGGTCCAATCTTGTCTCGTGTTTTAGTTTGATACTTTGGAAGAATCCCTTGGGGTCTGACTTCGCCTCCCTTGCTACCTTCAGTTCATTAATCCTCTTTGCTTTTCTTATCTCGGTCTTAACCCTACTGGCCAATCATACCTTATAATAATCTCGTAGGTAAACTTCACCAAGATATATTCTCCTACCTATAGCCTTCCTTTGTCCAAAAATATTCTTTAAATAATTAATTATCCATTTGGAATCAATGTTATTTGATCTGAGTTTTCTGTATGGTATGTTCTGCCTCTGTGCATTAAGTAACTCATTGTTTAAATTGTTGTGGACTGTGTTGTATTTTCTGTGTTTATTATTGTAGTGGAAAGTTTATGTATGTATCTCTCTCTCTCTCTCTCTCTCTCTCTCTCTCTCTCTCTCTCTCTCTCTCTCTCTCACTCAACTACCTATTCATATAATCAATAGACAGCCTATTAATCATTCTATCTATCTAATCTCTCAACTAATTAGGTTATTCATACAGCCTTTTATAAATCTATCTCTGTCTGTCTGTCTGTCTGTTTGCAACTGTCTGTCTGCCTCTCTCTGTCTGTCTGTCTGTCTGTCTCTGTCTGTCTGTCTGTCTCTCGGTCTGTCTGCCTGTCTCTGTCTCTGTCTGTCTGTCTGTCTGTCTGTTTCTGTCTGTCTGTCTGTCTCTGTCTGTCTGTCTGTCTGTCTCTGTCTGTCTCTCTGTCTGTCTGCCTGTCTCTGTCTGTCTGTCTGTCTCTTTCTCTCACAGGATCAAATTGTGTGGAACTTAAGGAGAAGGCTATCAGGGTCATGTATCCTGGGGAGCTATTCCTTCTTCCTCCCCTCTGTCTCTCCTCTCTCTTCTGTCTTCCTCTCCTCCCCTCTGTCCCTCTCTCTCCTTCTTCCACCGCCTCTCCACCTTCCCTCACTCCTCTGTCCCTCCCCTTACCTCTCTCTCTCTCTCTCTCTCTCTCTCTCTCTCTCTCTCTCTCTCCTTTCCACTAAGCTTCGAACATCAAACGAATCTGTTCACGGATATCGAGATCATAGTGAGGGAAGGGAGGAAGGGGAGAGGGAGAGGGGGGGAAGGTGGGAGAGGGAGGGAGAAGGTGGTGGGAGGGAGAAGGAAGAGAAAGGGAGAGTGAGATGAGAAGGAGATGAGAGGAAGAGGAAGGTTAGAGGAAAAAGGAAGTGAGAAGGAGAGGAAGTTGAGAGGGAAGGGGAAGTGAGAGGGAGATAAGAGGGAGAGGAAGTTGAGAGGTGAAAAGGAGAGAGGAAAAGAGGAAGAGGGGATGTAGAAGAAGAGAAGGAAATGAAAGAGAGAAAAATGAAAGGGAAAGATGAGAGGGGAAGTGGACGAAGGAAGAGGGAGAGGAGAAAGAAGAAGAGGGAGAGAAGACGGAAAAGAGGTAAGGAAGACGGAATGAAAGAAGAGAATTAAAAAAAAGTAAATGTAAGAACTTGGAGTAAAGAGAACTAAAAAAAAGAAGCCAAATATAATAGGAAATAAAAAAAACAGACGATAATAAAGGAAATGAAAGTAAGAGACGCAAGAACAAACACGAGGTAAATGTGTTTCTCCGTGAGTGAGTGATGAATTAAGATAACTCACTCCCTGATTGCTGTCAAGATAACTTATCAACTATTAAGATAACTCACCAATTAATAAGATAACCGAACAGCTGATAAGATAACATATCAGCTGATAAGATAACCAAACACCTGATAAGATAGCACATCAGCTGGGGGGGGGCAACTCAACCAGGATAACACATCGTGACAGGATAACTGACCTCCTATGACCTGGCAGGATAACGTGACCTCGGCCCCCTCCGGGAAAGGTCCAGCCAGCCCCTTAACGCTGGGTTCGCGGAAGTGGTCAGTGGTGATGGCGAGTGTCCGAGGGGGGACTGTGGGAGAGATAATAATAATAATAATAATAATAATAATAATAATAATAATAATAATAATAATAATAATAATAATAATAATAATAATAATAATAATAATAATAATAATAATAATAATGATGATGATGATGATGATGATGATTATGATGTTGATGATGATGATGATGATGATGATGGTGACTTAATCCCTCAATTGGTTAAATCATCGTACTGAAGAGGCTAAGTTATCGTATTCAAGGAGTTAAGTCATAGTACTCAAGGGGTTAAGTCATAGTACTCAAGGAATTAAGACACCGTATTAAAAGCATCAAGCCACTGTACTCAAGGGGTTAAATTAATTACCGTACCAAACTAGGGAAAAATAATAAACAAAACTACTACTTTTTTTTATAAATAAGCATTTAAATTTATTCAGGGTTGGGTGAGGATACTAACACTGACTATGACCAATTGCTTTAGTATAGATTTCAACATTTATCAAGGAAAAATAAACATGCGATTATTTATTAAAGTAAAATGTTGAAGCCAAGATAAACATATATTGAGACAAGATTCTATACTGAGGATACTGCACATTAAGTACAGTAAAATATTGTACTGAGATTATTTAATATTCGTAAGATAAAAATAATACTGTATTTATGGTATTAAAATTTATAACAGGGAAAATGTCCGAGTGAGAATATGAACACCTAAGACATTTTACAGGTAAAAAATGGTGCATTGGGGCTGACGTCGACGGTGAACAAATTTTGTGAATTAATGGAGCGAGTTAAGAAAAATGGCCGCCTTGAATGACGGAATATTATAGAGGAAAAAACTGTTGGGTATCACCTTTCTTCCCCTGCTCAGCTCCCCTCCTCTTGCCCACACCTCCCCTTTTCACCTTCCTCTCACCTCCCCACCTTTCCCTCCTCACTTTACCCCCACCTTTCCTCCTCTCCTTCCCCTTACTTCCCATCCTCATCTTCCCTCCTCACCTTCCCCTTACCTCCCCCCTTCACCTTTCCCTTCACTTTCCCGTTACCTCCTGTCCTCACCATCTCTTCACATCCCCTCCTCACCTCCCCTTCACCTCCCCGTCACCTTCCCCTTACCCCCTTCTCTTCCCATCTCTTCCCCTCACCTTCCTACCGCCTCCTTGCAAACTATCTGACGTGAACCTTATAGACGAGGTTACAAACAGCGACACATTACATCTTGGTTATACCGTCCTATTATAGAGGGGGGGGAAGGGAAGGGGTGGGAAGGGGAGGGGAAGGGAGGGGAGGGGGACTTTGAGGACACACCCATGTAATCTGAAGTCTGGTCTTGAAGGATCTTAGGGAAGGACCTGCCGACGAGACACTGACCTGTTACCTAGGATCTGGGACCTGAATTTCGAGTCTTGAAACTCTTAATGACAAAGCGTGAGGACTTACCCACAGAGCCCGGAAGCTCCTGGTGGGTGAAGACCTGCAGAAGAGACTCACCTATGACCTGGAATATGATGCTAAAGTCTCCCTTCTTGATGTAAGACTAGAGGACTCCACCAAAACCCCGGGTTACTGGAGTTTGTATCCCAAGAGACACCAGAAAAAAAAAATCTTACCTATGACTTGTAGTCTCACTCTCAGGTTCCTAGTGGGGGATTCTAGGAAGTCAACTCGACATCGGTATTCTCCCTCGTCCTTCAGCTGCACCTCTTCCAGTAGTAATCCTCGAAGGCTTTTCTCCAGTCTCATATAAGCACGACCACCCAGGTCATCATCCGCCCAATGGCTGGCTTGTTCGAGGCTCACACTCCGGGAGTCTAAACTGTTGAGTGAGAGGAGGGAAAAAGAAGTTATTTGGAGATTTTTCTCTTGTTCAGTGCGGGGGAAAATACTTAGTCGGATCTTACAGTATTAAATGGTTATCTCTCACCAGGATCACACTCCGGGTGCACAGAGAGAGAGAGAGAGCTATATCAGGGGTTGATTTCTTCTATGGTGAGGATAAACGAAGGTAGAGGCATTGAGAGAGACACTGACAATAAGGACTTCACAAGGACACTAAAAGGGCATCAAAAGGACACCCTGAGGAAGGTAACATCAGACGAACGTTCGCCCAGCCTTTTACGGTCCCAAGTAACACTCGTTTACGGTATGATTATTTTTTGCTATTTTAAGACTTCAATTTCTACCTTAATGGGGAAGAAAAGACCATCAAACTCTCGTGTGTGTGTGTGCATGTATGTATGTATGTATGTATGTATGTATGTATGTATGTATGTATGTATGTATATTCAGGTAAGTAACAGACAAACACAATTTATAAACTACATAAAAATAAAGGAAAAGAGAATAAAAAGCAAAGAAACAAACATTTGTAAAATTCTCCAAAATAATAATAATAATAACAATAATAATAATAATAATAATAATAATAATAATAATAATAATAATAATAATAATAACAATAATAATAATAATAATAATAATAATAATAATAATAATAATAATAATAATAATAATAATAATAATAATAATAATGATAATAATAATAATAATAATAATAATAATAATAATAATAATAATAATAATAATAATAATAACAAAGACACTTCACCTATGTAAATCTAAAACAATAAACATTAGTAGTAACGTGGAAAAAACATCACATATAAACATTTGCAAAATTCTAAAAAAAAAAACTAAAATAAAAAACGAACATTAAGGATACTTCACCTAACTGCAAAACACGAAAAAAAAACACCTAGGTAAAAAAACGGAAGCATTCATCTCTGAGTGAGTTTAATTAGCAAAAGATTTCGAGGCTGCTAAAATGGTGTTCTAAAAATGCATAAAAAACAGTTTCCAGAATACGAACCAAGTTTTTTTTTCTTCTTCAATCTTTTAAATTTCTTGTTCATTATTAAGAGTTTGTGTTAATTTTGTTGGATTTTTATCAATTGTTTTATTCCCTAATTTATTCTATATATTTCATTTCCATATTCTTTTTTTTAACATTACCAAAGAGGAATTATATTTAATTATCTTTCATTTCTTTATTTCCTCTCATTCGTTTGTTTATAGTTGTTTGGCGTTTTCAAAACATCGTCAGAATGCGATTATATTTTCTCTATTATATTCTTTTGTTTTCTCTCATTTGTAAACCTTTCTTTGTTTATCTTTGTTTGTTATTTTACCTCATTTATTTTCCTTCCTCTCTGTCTCTCATATTCATAAACTTTTCTTAATCATTATCATAATTCTAGTTTCTATTTTACCTATTTTTTTTATATATTTTTTCAGTATATTTTCTCTTTACTAGACGTTTATCCTGGTTTCTTATTACCTCCTTTATTCACTTTTATAATCCTCATTCTTTCTCAAAACCCTTCCGTAAACATTATCAGAAACCGATCATAATTTCCACCCGTAATTTTAATAACTTTATCTACTTCGTACGTTTCTCGATAAATACACCAGTTTATTTTTGTTGGGCGTTTATCATGGATTATTGTTATTACCATCTTTATTCTGTTTCTTCTATGCCTCCCATTCTTTATCTAACATCCTTTGTGGGTCAATAGGGCGTCCGGGAATCTATTATCCTATTCTTATCGATCAATAATTCCTATATAAAACAATACCTATATATGGTTATAGGAAACACCTATGTCTAGATAAATAATTATATATGTACCAGTTTATATATTTAAATTAGCAGCTGTAATCTTATAGAGTAGAAATTAGTTATGCATAGAAAAACCTCTTCATGAGTAGCACTGTATAAGTGAACATCTAATTTACATACAGTAGTAATTGTACCTTTATAAAGTGATGCCTTTTACTTTACTAAGGTGACTCTATCCATATGTTCTGATACCTGTATAAAGGAGATTAATTATTCGTACTTCAGACTCTATACCTACCTCGGTATATAATGTACTTTTGTATTGTCTACCCAAGTATGTATGTATGTATGTCTGTGGTATGATGGTCAGCATGCTTGCCTTGCAAGTGATCGGACCTAGGTTCGATCCCCAAGCAGGGTGAAATTAAGGGCTAAGGGCAAGTTTCTTTACGCCATTTGCCCAGCAGTAATTGGGAACCTAGATGTTAATCGATTTGCAGATCGTGTTTTGGGGTAATGGTTAGCCAGTGCAGTTGGCGAGTTGTCCGGTCTTCTTGGACTATTCCTTGACACTGGGTCATGAAATTCGTTAACTTAGGGTGTGGTTGTTGTGTTGGCAACTGCTTCTACACCTTAAACAAATTCACGCCTAGGTGGCCCTAGGGCCGGCAATCCTCGTTACACGAGGGGCAACCATTATTATTATTATGTATGTATGTATGTATGTATGTATGTATGTATGTATGTATGTATGTATTTATGTATGTATCATCATCTCTCTCTCTACCTGTGCCTTGTGCCACCCTCACCTGTAGATGGGTGTACCGACGTCGCCGTGGTAGAAGAGCACCAGGTGGGTCGAGTCATTGGCCAAGGGAGGTTCCATGTTACAGGGAAGCAGGACCCGACCGCCCTCCACCGCCCTCACCTCCGTCAGGGGACCTGTAGGGGAGGAGACTGACCTTATAGTGGATCCCACGAGATAAGAAAAGATCAGAGTAAAAAATATAAAAATTAGCAGTTGAGTGATATAAGTGATGATGATGATGATGATGATGATGATGATGATGATGATGATGATGATGATGATGATGATGATGATGATGATGATGATGATGATGATGAGGAGGAGGAGGAGGAGGAGGAGGAGGAGGAGGAGGAGGAGACATATTGAGTAAGCTTCCAATTAACACACACACACACACACACACACACACACACACACACAATTTTTAACAAACTAAGAGCAGCAGCAACTAATTACAGGAGTTAACATACGCCTTAGATGCCAGCTTAATTAAAAACCAACGAGTAAGGTAATCTGGTGCAACAGATGATCCAAGTATCGCAAGTTTTAATGGATCTTCATAGTAATAACATCAACATCTTATTTCAATTTTGCTTAAGCTGGTCATACTTGAGAGATTAACTTAATATTACTTCAAGGTGTAAAATATTTCCTAACCCAACCCAACCCAACCTAACCTACCCTACCCTAACCTAACCTAATCTAAGTGTAACTAAATTCTTAAAAGTTTGTATCGTAACTTTTTTCTCTCTATTTGGTTAGGTAAATTATCATCTAATAATTTCACTTAAGCTACGATACAAAGATAGAGTCTCAAAGGCTCGTAAACTTGAAATTTTTCTCCTCTCGCCCCCCCCCATTACCCGAAGACGTAAAAACCTCATTAATTCGTTCACTTTAACCAAGAAACAAAAAATGGGTCTTAATAAGTTCGTACGTTAAGTTTTTCCTATTAACTGGAGATGTAAGAACGGGACTAATTGGCCCACTTAAGCGTCAATGCAAAAAAAAGGAATTCTCAAAGATTCGTGAGTTAAAATTTTTCCCACTACCTCAAGATGTACGAACTGAACTAATTACCTCACTTATGACACGACAAAAAAAAATCTCAAAAATTCATGTGTTAATTTTTTACCTCCTTAGCTGAAGGAATAACAAAAGGTTAAATTAGATCACTAAAGGCTATGGCAACCAAAATGGCGACACAATTAAACCGAGACTCGAGCGAAAATTAATACGTTCTTGAACACTCATACAAAAAATTATATAAGAGTCTTGGACAATTGGCTAAGTGTAAAAAATATTGTTCAGAAATATAGGATTTGTACCTTATATTCTGATTACTTTTGGTTGAGTCATAGTGCAATATTGACGCCATTTTCTTCCCCATCGTTTCCGAATCAAAGAAAGACGAAAGAGAAAGAGAAAGAGAGAGAGAGAGAGAGAGAGAGAGAGAGAGAGAGAGAGAGAGAGAGAGAGAGAGAGATACGAGGGGTGCTGGTTGAAGTCTGAAAGGAATGAGTAAGGATAGAGGGGGCAGAGCATAGAAGAGAGAGAGAGAGGAGAGAGAGAGAGAGAGAGAGAGAGAGAGAGAGAGAGAGAGAGAGAGAGAGAGAGAGAGAGAGAGAGAAGGAGGTGGGGGAGACAAGGAAAAGGGGAGATAGAAGGAAAGGGGATAGAGAGGGGGGAGGGGAGGAAGAGAGGGAAAGTGGAGGTAGAATGAAAGTGGATAGAAAGGGGAAAGAGAGGGAGGAGAAAGAGAGAGGGAGAGAGGAAAGAGAGGGAGGGGAGAAAGAGAGGGAGAGGGGAAAGGGGAGGGAGGGAGGAGGAGGAGGAGGAGGAGGGTAAGAGCCTTGGAGAGTACCTGAGTGCAGTAATTAAGGAAAACAATTGAAAAAAATCGAGGTTGAAATCCTACTCAAAAATATGAAAGGAGAAAGAAGCAGCGGTTGAGGGGGAAAAATGCACACTCACAGAAGATGATAATGGAGGGAGGAGAAAGAGGTGGAAGTGGGGGAAGAAGGAGGAGGAAGGAGGAATATGACAAAGAAAGGTGAAGACAAAAGTGACAGAATGAATAGGAAGAGATGTTAGAGGAAGAGGAAGGCGAAATACAGTAGATGAGGAGAGGGGAAGTTGGGGGAGGAGAGAGAGAAAGATAAGGAGGAGGAGGAAAAAGGCGAGGTAGTACAGAGGATAAAGAAAGGAGGAAGAGAAAGAAGAAGAGGCAGAGAAAGAGGCCGAATAAGAGGAGCGAGACTAACAAGGGGGCGGGGGGGGGGGGAGACCTTTAGCAAGACACTATTATCATCAGACTCGAGGCACGCTTGAGTGGCAGGTGGTAACGAACCCTCAGAACCGAAGACCAGCAGGTAAGTCCTAGTAATGAAGGTGGAGAAAAATAATGGTGAAGCTAATATTATTAGTTGTAAAATAATGCTATAAAAAATAATAATGATAGTAACACAAATACTACTACTACTACTACTAGTGTGTGTGTGGAGGGAGAGAGAGAATTAAGTTTATACTGCACATTATTTCCTAAAAAAATCAATGTCAAGCCAATTTTGAACACCTGAACTTAAACATCTGTAAACATTCAGGTGTATTGGGTAGATATATGTATATATGTATCTCCATAACACACTAAAGATAACACTATTTAACAACCACATAACTACTACAGATATCCCCACTCAGGCAGCGTCATATGAGCGCCGTATAAACTGGCAATTATTTCAGACCGTCAAACAAAAATCCGACACTGCAATTCCGACTCGCTATATCAAACGTTGGCAAGAAAGAAAACGTTTGTGAACTCATCCATGACTTGCTAGCAGAAGGAATATGAGTGTTTTGATTTTATGCTTCGCGCTGTCACAAGCAAAATATAAACATTGCTGTCAAATGTAGCGGGCAGAGTTGGCCCTCACACTTAAATGTGAATTCATACAACACCGTGCAAATAGTCTTGTCCACGCCACATGGCAGTTGACAGAGCAGCTACAAAAACGAGTTCCTTTACACCCACTGTGGGAACTACCAGTCATACTTTACTTGTATGTTCATTTATTGTTCATTTTTAGTTTTGTAATGGAAGTTTGGGTTGAATAATCCACGCCCCAGTGCTGTGTTCTTTCAATAAACTGTTTATTATGATTTTTATCCCACACACACACACACACACACACACACACACACACAAAGACATTATCTTGCCAACTTTTATTCCCTGATATTATGATATCTTATAAGTATCTGAGCCAATGTTAGCTGTATTAGATCGGGAAGTGTGAAGGACCTTATGACTATAGCTGCTGGGCACCTTATAACTCTCTCTCTCTCTCTTTCTCTCTCTCTCTCTCTCTCTCTCTCTCTCTCTCTCATTGTCTTCTTTCTACTATTCTCTTTTCTTATTCTGCCCAAGCTTCTCTCTCTTTTCTGATTCTTCCTCTGTCTCTTCCTTTTTTCTTCTTCTTTATTTTATACTTCTTCTTTTCCTTCTTCCTCTTCCTTTGCATTTTTTTTCTTTCTCATTCACGTTTCATTTCTTCACCCATTTTTTATTGACTATTATATGTTGTTACTTTTCTCACCCTGTGTTTTCTTATCGATTTAGTGATGTCCTCCACCACCACCTCTTCTTCATCCTCCTCTTCCTCCTCCTCCTGCTCCTCTTCATTCTTCTCCCTTTTCTTCTGTTCGTTGCATCTACATTTTGTTGTCTAATATATTATTGTGTCTATCCTCCCTTTCCTACTCTCATCTCTTCTTCTTCTTCTTTCCTCATCTAACTCTTCTTATTCGTCTTCTTCCTCTTCCTCAAAGTTCACTTACACACACACACACACACACACACACACACACACACACACACACACATACCAAACAAAAACAGTTATAATGCTTGCTTGCCGCACCCTGCCAGCTGAATTGAATTTTCTTGCTCCAGCTCCTGCGTCAGAAAGAAGACGCCCTGTTTTCATTGACATTTTTGCTTGCTTGTGTGCGAATGTGTAGAAACCCAAAGGTGGAGGAACTTTCAGTGGAAGAGGGGGAGGGGGGAGAGGAGGAAGGAAAGTCCCCTCTTGAACGCACGCATGCATTGTTGACATTTCATCAGCTGTTTCTGAGGGTCACGTGGTTATTACAGATCAGCTGATGAGGCCTAACTAATGGTGTCTTTTTATTTCCCAAGAGGAAGATTTCTTTTTGCGGTTTAGTATTTTTTCGGAGATTTGGGTTTGTTTGTGTGTGTGTGTGTGTGTGTGTGTGTGTGTGTGTGTGTGTGTGTGTGTGATACAAACAGATACATAAAAAGAGAGTCTCCCCCCTGGACCTCTGCCCAGCACACACCTCACACTTAACATGATTGTCTCCCTTTCCTAACCACCACACACAACCTTTTCCTCCTCCTCTACTGATCCTTAGCTGTCTCTCTCTCACATCACACCACCGACCGCTATTGTTTACTCTATTTCTAGGTGAAGTAAACACACAAAATAGACAGATAAATTAAGAAGATAAACTAAGAATATATAACTAGGTAATAAAGTAGAAAAGTGAAGGAAACAGGTGAAGAAGACATAGAAATTAAGTATATAATTAATATTTTTTTAATGTAAGTTGCTACGTAAAGTAAGTTGGTAAAGTAAGAAGATAAATTTAGGAGATAAAGTAAGAGAATAAAGAAAAAGGATAAATTAAGGAGATAAAGTAAGTGGATAAATAAACAACCAAAATACACACTCAGGGAAAGTCAATAAAATAATTAAAATTGGTTGATTATACTCTAACGACACCAGTGTTTACTGACCCCTGGGGCGGTGAACCTGTCCAAACACAGGAGAGAGAGAGAGAGAGAGAGAGAGAGAGAGAGAGAGTATATCAACAACACTCCATCAGTACCTACCGACTTCTCACCCCACCTACAAATCAATCAAATTATGTCTTTTTTTTCCCCTTCAGTAGAACAAAATCCGTAATAGCCATCAGTTTCAGCCATCCACTTGATATAACATTCCCCTCACCTATTAAGTCTGAATGCCAGTGATTGAATGACAGACCAGAGAAGTAAACAAAAAAAGGACATACACAGTAAACCTATTACCTCCTTCAGTAGGAGTTGCTCTCT